CAGTTGCCTCATTTAGGCAGTGAAGACAGCAATAATAACTTAAAGGGTACTGTTAGAGTGAAATGAGCTGTGCACATAGAAGTGCAGCCCAGAGCCTGGCGGACAAGTGCTCAACACGTATCAGCTCTTCCCACTAGTAGGGATGACATGTTCTCGTACAGGGAGGCCTTTGCTACACATACCCCTGAAGGAAGTGGCTGCCTCCCAGTACAATGAGTAACTCATCAAAAGGTTGTTAATGTAGATTGTCACTAAAGACAACTGTTGCAAGGAGGATAGTGGGGAAGCATTAGATGATCTTTAAAAAAAAAAAAAAAGATTTATTTATCTTAGAGAGCAGGAGTGCAGGGGAGAGGCAGAGGCAGAGAGAATCCTCAGACCAACTGCCTGCTGAGCACAGAGCCCAACACAGGGCTCCATCCCAGGGCCCCAGATCACAACCTGAGCTGAAATCCAGAGTCAGGCACGAGAGGATCTTAAAGAACCACTGACCTTCAGAAAACAGGAGTTCGTACCGGAATAGGAGGAATCAAAGAGAAGTCCACTAGCAGGGGCTCCAGAACTGACACAGGAGGGCTCAGACCCTCACGACCGTCTTCCTGGGAGTGGGGAGAGAAGGCGCCATCTTGAAGTTACCTGTACTTAGGAAGCCGTTGTATTTAATTTATGGATATCAGAAAAGAGGGAGTTCAGTGCGGGAGGATGGAGATTATGGGAGATTAAAGATGCTGCAACTGAGGGAGGAGGTGCGAGCCTTTGAATGAACCCCCCCATTTTGTCCCCCTATCCGCTGGAAGTTGTAGGCTTTGCAGCTATATCCAGCCCTTCCCCATCTCTCAGACCATTCAGGAAGTTGACGGAGGATCATCTGCTTTATGTGAGTGGGAAGAGAGAGTTATGGAAATCTAGAAAGAAGCTGAGCATCTTGATATTATTCTGAACAGTTTCGACCTTGCAAATTCCTCTCTGAGAACCTCTTGGCTAGACTGGGGTGATTTCTCCCTGTCCTGCTGATCTTGCTTTCATCTTTCCCTCCCCCCGCCCCACCGCCATGTGAAAAGGCAGCCCCTGATGGGGTACAGGGTAGGTACCCTTTGTTCAAACAGTATATTCCTCAATATTTCACATAATTCAAAATTCCCTAAATGTAATTCTAATTCGAAAGAGGAGATATTTTTAGGCACCAGCCTCTCTTGTCAATTAGCAATAGAATGAATGCAGTTTACAGTCCACTCCCTTGAGAAAGGAGTTTTAAAGTTAGGAGAAATTTTGGATAAATTGTTGATGGGGTGAGCCTGAAATCATTTCAAGAAGTCACAAAAAGGTTTTGTTAATATTTCATATGGCGCCATTCTGAATTTGTGTAAGTTAGGCTCTTCATTGTGAAGAAGGAGGCCCCTTGACAATGGTGCGGGAGGGGATAGGAAGAGTGGCAAGAACAGAAAGGTCCTTGAAGGCAGGCACTGGGTCTGATTCATCTCTACCGCCCCATCCCCTGTCTCCGAGCCCCACAGTGTGGGCTGAGTTCCAGGGGAGGGACACTGGAGAGCAAGCCAGGTGCATCTCTCCAGGTGTGAGTCACCATGAGATGAAAAGCAAAAATGGTGGAAACATGAGATGCTCATTAGCAATGATTTATTAGGAACTAATGAGGGCTTTCTGCTCCTGGGCGGCCATTATTTCAAAAAACGTTTTTCCTTGGTGTCTAACTTCTCATGCTTAAATGCTCATTATTTCATGCTCATCCTGTCCGTGGAGTTCTGTGAGCCGCAGGCAGATAGAGGCCAATCTTATGGCCAGGAGGAGGACATTTGTCCCAAGCCAATGAAGGTCATCATCAATAATGCATAGGCCAGTGGGGCTGGGCATTTTTCTAGAGCCACACAGCCATTCCCCTAGCAGGGGCTATTTGGATATTCTGAGTTTCTGTGTATTTTAGCCCCAAATGTAGGTATATGGAAACCATATGCAAGAAGTTCCTTTCAGTGAGACTTATAGTAGGGACTTTTTTTCTTATTATTATTTAAATTAACTTACATTTTTGAGGTACTTGCAGATTCCCATAGAGTTATAAGAAATAATATAGAGAGATCCCATTATATCTTTTGCTTAATTTCCCCCAAAGGTAATGATGTCTAATGGTTATTACCATTACCCTAGTACAATGTCACTATTGAAGTTTCCTTTAAACTCAGAAGACTCGGGGCACCTGGGTGGCTAGGTGGGTTAAGCCTCTGCCTTCAGCTCAGGTCATGGTTTCAGGGTCCTGGGATCGAGCCCTGTGTTGGGCTCTCTGTTCAGCAGGGAGCCTGCTTCCCCTCTCTCTCTGCCTGCCTCTATGCCTACTTGTGATCTCTCTCTCTCTCTCTCTCTCTGTCAAATAAATAAATAAAATCTTTGAAAAATTAAAAAAAAAAAAAGACTTGGAAGACTCTTCAGACTTCCCTGACCCCAAAAGGGAAAAACTCTGGGGAATGGGGTACTATCTCCCCTTGGAAGGAATGTCCCCAAGTAAGAACCTGGAAGGCAGAGGGATACATCAGGGCTCCCTGGTAGGAAGTAAGAGATGTTCAGGCAGATTATAGATATCCTCCCCTCACATCCCTGACTTCTATGAGGGCACCATAGGGTTCCAGGAACCCAACAAGTTTCCTTACCTGGCCCTGCGGCTCTGGGGAGAGTAGGGCCCTCAGCCCTCTAGCTGAGTCTGCTCAGGTATGGTGGTTGACAGTCAGCTCTGGAATCACACAGCCCAGGGCTTGATTCCTAGCTCCTCACTGCTATGCGGATGACCTTGGCCAATAACCTCTTAGAGCTTCAGTTTTTCATAATATCGTATGGGACTTACCATGTGTCAGTTACTCTTCTAGGAAGCTTATAAAATAACCAGTTTAATACCGACAACCCTAAAAGGGAGATATTGTTAGTTCCTATTTTGCAAATGAGGAAATTGAGGCACAGAGAGGTTATATACTCCAGGTATTTGAAGCCAGGCCGTCCTCATTCAAGTTCACATACTTAACCACTATCCTGTGTTGCTTCTCCTCCTCTCTGATGTACACTCAGTGGTACCTCCCTGAATTTTCACAAGGCAGACCGCTTAGCACAGTGCCCAGCGTGTAATACATAAACACCAATAAACGCAGGCTAACATTCACTGGTATCATTGCTTCTAGAAGTTTCTGAGTATTCAGTTACTTCCATTCTGGCCACCTACCATGTGCCAAACCTTTATTCGGTCCTCCCCACTACCCAAAAGGAGGAGTCACTTTTTTTTAATAGATGAAACAACTGAGAATCAGTGAGATGGAATCTGGCAGAGGCAGAGACAGCATTCGTACCCAGGGGCAGCGGCTGGAATCACAGCTCCAGAAGGAGCTTCAGAGGTACCAGCCTAACTTCACATCCAGCTCAGGACTTGACCTGTGGAACAGTCATTTATCTGTTCTGAAAAGCCCAGTGACAGAGCACTAGTTCTCTACACCTGTGGTTCTCATGCTTGAGGGCACATCAGAAACCATGAGGCCATTGTTAAAATAGAGTGCTGTCCCCCTCCTCTATCTGCCACCCCACCCCACCACACGCCCCAGGGGTTTCTGACTAAGAAGGGCTGGAGTCAGGGCCTGAGAATGTGCATTTCTCCCAAGGTTCCAGAGAATGATGATGTCGCCGCCCCAGGGACCATACTTCGAGAACCACTGCTCTAGGAAGACTTCTTAGAGTAGTAATGGCAGGGACGATGGCAAACTCCACTTTTTACGCCCTATTCAAGTGTGAGACAAGTTTCCCTCGCAGAGCCAGTATCATATACTTACCTGCACTGTAAACTATAAATCCCCGTCTGTGTGGTCCCCTTCCTTCCACGAGGGTTCTTAAAATTGTGTGTTCTCAAAAGCCTGCCTCTGATTGGAGCCCAACCCCTCCCCAGCCCAGGCTCACCTTTCCAAATGCTTCCAAAATAATATTGATCTTGGCTTTTATGATTAAAAACAAACCCAGTGAGGGGCGCCTGGGTGGCTCAGTCGGTTAAGCGTCTGCCTTGGCTCAGGTCATGATCCCAGGGTCCTGGGTTTGAGCCCCATGTAAGCCTCGCTGCTCAGCAGGGTGTGTGCTTCTCCCTCTCCCTCTGCCTCTACCCCCACCCTAGTTTGTGCTCACTCTCTCTCTCAAATAAATAAAAAAAATCTTCAAAAAAATGAAGAGAAGCACATTTATTAAAAAAACAACAATGAAACCACACCTTCCTACTGCTAAAAATTTAGAAAAGTACCAAAGATAAAAAGAATGAGAAAGAAAATTAAAATTAACCACCATCCCAATCCCCAATCCCACTGTTAATATTTTGATATATTTTAGTGTATTTTCTTATAGCCTCTTGTGATATATATATATATATATTTATTGAGATATTGCACTAGTTTTAGGTGTACAGCATAATAATTTGATATGTTTATATATATATTGCAAAATGATCATCACAGTAAGTCTAGTTAACATCTGTCACCATACACAGTTACAACTTTTTTTTCCTTGGGATGAGAATATTCAGGATTTACTCTCTCAGCCACGTTCAAGTATACAGTACAGTATGGTGAACTATAGTCACCCAGGACTCAGGTATTTTACAACTGGAAGTTCGTACCTATATTTGTTAATAATATTAGAATAAAAACATACATAGCACCTAGCATCCTACAAGCCAATTCTAAATGTTCTCTACACATGGGAGCTGCTGTGGTTTTCATGATGGAATTCAAAGAAGAAAGTGAGGTCTGCCATGGATGACAAAGGTAGGCCTTTGAGCCAACCACGAGAACACAGGCATGGAGATGAGCATCATTGGCATCTGTGGGCTGGTGGGTGGTGCGGCGGGAAGTGGGTCTCAGTCAACTGAGCGGGGACAGGTAATGATGGGACGCTGTTACCGGCTGACCTTGAGCTCTCTGAAGCACCAAGAAGTGGTGTACCTTCTTAATCAGGAATGACATGACAAAGGGACTTCCCAAAGCCCATCCAGATAGCAGAGGTCACTATGGGATGGAGCGAAGTAGTGAGAAGGCAGGGGAAGGGGCAGGGGTACCCAAGTTGGGAGCAGCCTGGGGGCCCACCCAGTCTCTAGCGGCCAAGGCAGCTCTGGGACATGGATAGGCCTACTTCTGAGCTGCCAGGATGGAGAGGGACTGGTTGATCTTCACCATGGCGATAATGAGGAGACCTCCAGTCAGCAGGAAGGTAGGCCAGAAGAGAGAGAAGAGCAGGGTCCGGGGCCCATAGAGGCGCTGGTACAGCACAGTGGTCTCGTTCTCCCGAGTGGTTGAGAAGCAGTAGAAAATCTGTTTCTCGTGGAATGTGGCCCTGACCTTCTCCACATCGGCCCGGGCCACTTGGTAGTTCTCCAGGCTGCCTGGGATGTAGGAGCACTGCGGGGGGAAAGCGAGAGCACCCATGAAGTTGGAAATCCTGGTTTCTCTGGGAGAGAGGAGGGGCTGGCATGAAGTAAAGGAAAGTGTTGGCTTTGGAGTTGGGGCCCCGGCTGGGAGTGAGGTCTGTCGAAAAGTTGTCAGGCTGTGCACTGCGTGGTTCTAGAGGGTTCCTTTGCAGTGTCACGTGTGAGGGCGGTGGCCCCAGGAGCCGCTCACCAGGAAGCAGGGGCCCAGCTGGAGTTGTGGCTCTGTTTCCACTGGCTGTGGGACCTGAGGCAAATTGCTTACCTTTCTCAGCCTTGTTATCTTGTCTCGTGAAGGCGTTAAGAGCAGTATGTATTTCAAAGGACGTTATTAAAGAAGGACTTTTAACTTAACTAACCCAAGAGTGACACAGACCCATTGGGCTCTATATTCGGATATGGGGCAGAGGTCATCATACACTCAATTTCCCACAGGGCATGTGCACATAACATCCCCAGGTGAAGTGGGTCAGGAAAGAAGATGACAAGAGCCAGCCGACACTCACCTTGTGCCACGGAGGACAGTCAGGGACAGGGGTGGGGGAGGGAGAACTGGAATGGAGAGAGCTGGAAGCATCCAGACTGACAATCGTCATTTTATCTGGATGCTGGATGCCATGAGATCCGGGAGATCTATGGTAGCCAGGCCTCCGACATTTCAAGGAAAACCAGAAAGCCAAATTCTAATGTGAACTCTCACAATTTTAAAATATTGGCAAAAATGTGAATTGCAAACCCTTTGAGGTCTAGCACTGTGTGAGCCAGACAGAAGATATTGGCAAGCCAGTATCTGACACTGGGATTCGAAGGAAGGGGAGAATACACTTGAGGGAGCTTGTACAGGCGGAGCATAGAATGCACTGATCCTGACGCTGTTGTTATTAGGAGCCTCTGGCTCCATCAGGTGAGGTCCGTCCTGCTGGGAAGCTCTGCAGAGCACGCACAGAGGGGAGACCCTGGTTTCATCTCGGTTCTGTACCAGGAAGTCTGAAGGTTGTTTATGTGAGGTTCTGGAAGTTTCTACGAGGGGTTCCCCCACAGCACCTGCAGCAGACTAGCTGGAGGGCTGGCCAGAGCGCAGGTTCCTACTCACTCTGAATTTCTGGGGGTGGAGCCCAGCAAACAAGTGACTCCTTCATGCACAGTAGTCTGAGACTGCTGGCCTGGGACGGTCATGTCCGATCAAAGTCTGAGTGTTGAGCTGGCTCCTCCCTAGGCCTTGGTTACTCCTTGGATTTGAATGAGACCCTGTCCCCAAAGCTGCCTGCCTGGACAGCACCCATCCGGCAGTTTGGGAGATAGTTGCATCATGGTCCTGACAGCCTGGGAAGTGGGGGAGCCATGTCCAGAGCCGTCCCCTGAACAGCCAGAGAGCATGTGAGGCTGGGGAGAGCTGCCTCCAAGGAATCAGACCTTCAAAGTTGTTGGGTACAGCAGGGTCCCAGGAGCAGATTAACTCAGAGTTTTGCACTGAGGGGACCTCACCTATCTTCCCAATGTCTCTGACTCTGACCTTGGGTAACTTACCCCATTGAGCAAAGGTGTGGCTGTGGAGTCAGACAGACCCAGATTCAGCCACCAGGTCCAAAGTTGTGAGACTTGGTGGATGCCACCACCTCTCTGAGTCTTGTAAGGTAGGTTTGTGAGGGTAGTTGCCTGGATGACTTGGCATGGAGACAGGACTAGAAGGTGTGCTGCAGAAACGGACCCGGGGAGCAGTGGGGTAGGGAGAGGCTGGCAAACTCAGGGTCAGGCAGGCAGCCTGTGAGCCAGCCTGCCCCCAATCCCTAGCACGCCAGTGGTCACTCCTGCCTGACTTCTTATTCCTCGAGATAGAACAGCGACCACCAATTGCCAAAGAAGAAGCAGGGGTCCTGGTAGAAGTGGATTCAGGGGGACTTGGGGGCTCTTTTCTCATCTGGTGGGACTGAGTCATGCTAGTGTTAATGGAACGGGTCAGTCACCTTGCACTGTCCAAACCCACTTCTCCATGACCTCCCAGCACCATCAGTAATCTCACTGGACACCCTCAGCGCCCTGCCCTTCCCATTAGCTACCTAACTCTGACCGTCAGCATCTATCCCGACTACAGGCCAATCTCCAGCCTGGCTGTTGGCCGTGGCCCCAGCCTCTCTGCCCAGCCACTGAACCTCATGCTCCTCTGTACCACTCTGATCATGCTTAGGCGCACAGACCCTTTAAACACTCCCGGTTGCTTGCAAAAATAGTTCTAAACCTCAGAAGCCCCTAGAGAGTCCAGAGATTCTGCGTCAGGTGGTCTGGTATAGAAAGCCAGCTTTGTTAAGTCCGCAGCTGGTTCCAGTGCGTGGCCAGAGTCGAGCAGGGCCAGCTTGCCCAATCACATTTTAATGCCATAATTCAGTAGTCCTTGCAGAGAGGACAGGCACACAGCTCGTACGGTGCCAGAATTTCATTAACATTTCCCTTCTTTACGGTCTACTTGAATTTAAATTCCTGGGAACCAGTAGAACCCTCCCCTGGGAAATGATACGGGAAATGGTGGATCGGTTAGGAGCCACTTACGACTCCACTCCCTGCAAAACTCAGCGTCATGAGCATTCTTCCGAGCGAACCTGTTCCAGATAAAGCTCTGACCTTCTGAAATGAACGCAAATGAGCTTCGAATGTTCGGAGCCCAGGCTGGTGAGAGCCCCGGTGGGCTGGGACAGAGAGCACTGCCTGCCTTGGCACTGGCTCTACCATTTGCTGGCTGTTCCGGCAGAACACCCCCACTTCTCATGAGGTTGAACCAGGGCAGTTTGGGGTAAAACAGTGATTGTAGATGAGCTTAGGCCTTCCCCCAATTCCCTTCCTTATGCTGGACTTCTAAGGCTTGGAAAAAAATCCCGATTGAACACGAATGCCTAATTCCATGCTCTGTGGGCCGGCTTCCTCCGCCGGCTTCCCTGACAGCGCTGTGTCGTATCTTGATCTTGAATTCAACACACACGTCTCCTGTCCTACCGCACTGTGTCTGCTGTCTCACTCAGACATCCTTAAAGACTATCATTTGAGGGGAAAAAAAAAAAAATCAGTAAAGTGTTTGCTATAATCTTTTTTTAAATTTTTTAAAATCTTTTTTTAAAACTAATTATTATCCATAACTTGTAGCATTCTTCATTAAAGTTTTGCTTTTCTCAAAAATCAAATAGAAACCTACCACAAACAAAAAGCTTTCTGCTTCCATCATTGGGTCAGGTAGAGTCCACCTGTGTGTTTCCCCCTGCCCCGCCCCAATGCCCCCTGCATCAGTGACTGCAGCACCCCTTTCAGGTCCTTCTCTTCTAGGCCCTTCCTCCTGCCACACAGTGGTCTCTGCCCACCCCTCTCCAGGCACGCTGCGCTCCTGTTTCTGTGTATCTAATGCCTGTGTGATTTTTCAAGCCTGACCCAAACGTTTTTTTGACACCCTCACCTCGCTGTTGGCTGGAAAGAGTCACTTCCACCTTTAACCCCATAATTTCCTCTGTTCCTCTCTGTGGCACGGCTCCTGCCCCACTAGGTGTTATTTCCCATAGGAGCTCTCTCCTCCTGAGTCCAGAGGTCCTATCACAGGACGTGCTCAGGGACTCCTGGATGCATGAGGGAATGAGGGAATGGATATGGCCAACTTGTGTTTTCTGGAAGAAAGGATAGGATGAGGGGATGAGGGGCGGTGTGGAGAGGCAGTGATGGGAAAATCTCCCAAGCACTGGCCTCCAGAGTCTGCTGCAGCCCTGGGCCTCTGGTTTCACTGAGTGGGGCCGGTCTCAGGGGTTCTTCTCTGTGGGGTCAGCTCTGGCTCTGGCCTCTCATTTGAATTACCTTATAGAAGTGCCTGCCATCCACAGACACTGAGCCCAGCACACCACACAGCCTCTGACTTCATGACTGGACTTCAGCCCAGGCGGGGCCCAGGTCATACAGCAGTTGGTGGCAGAGTGGGGACTCAAACCCAGGTCTGCCTGACTCCAGCCCAGAGGAGCTAAGTCTGAGTCCAACCCAGAGGAGCTAAGTCTGGCTGGACCTCATAGCAGTTGTGGACCCTTGCCAAGTAGGCTCAGCTCTCTCAGCCTCCACTCCCCAGAGCATGGATGGGGATTCAGTTAGGAAGAGGCCCACACACCTGCCAGGGGCAAGAGGATACCTGTCCATCCCCCATCCCCTAGTCAGTACCTGCTGGTTCTGGTCCCGAGTGTCCTCTGTGTGATACAGCACAGCCCACCGGCCCACAGCTGACACGTTGACCCACAGGCACGGGTACTGGGGCACCTTCTTGCCCTCTAGCTCCTCCTGCTCCCTGATGCTGGTCTCAATCAGATGGCACGTGGATTTCTGGGTCCACACACTGGGGAGACCATGCAGACACATACATATGTCAGAACCTGGGTGATGCAGAGCATCAGGTTTCAACCCCTTTAGAGAGACCCGGGGCTTGTGACCCTCATCTTGCCATAAGCATCCAGCACTAAAGGAGTGTGACCCAGAGTGGTTGGGCCCAAAAAAAGAACCATAGAATCAGAATAGCAATGCTTATTAGCCTCTTAGACATCATCTACATAAGTGGTTCTTACCCTGGCTGCTGACTCAAAATCCTGGGGAACTTTTGAGATGATTCCCATGTCCCAGCCATACCCCAGAACAGGTGAATCAGAATTTCTAAGGTGGGCGAAGTTCAGGCCCTGATATGTTTTTAAAAGCTCCCTGCCTTGATTCTAATAAGCAGCCAGACCCCAAGACCCATTGGCCACATCAGCCTCACCTTGTAGGGGGTAGGAAGAAAAGCTCAGAGAGGTCAAGGGACTTCTCTGAGGCCACACAGGACCCGAGTGCAGGTCTGATTAGCTTCAGAATCTGTGCCTTTCCCCCCCAAAAAGAGGTAATGCAGAAGGGGCTTGATTTGTGCCAGGGTAGGGAAGTAGGTGGGGACAGGGCTGAACCTGGAGATAACGGGTCACAGGCACACAGCAGTTCTGAACAGTGCCTCCTTTGGGGAAGATTCCAACCTGGAATCAGTCCAGGGTTATAAAAAGTGACAAAGAAACAGGCTCAGAAGAGGCTAACAGGCTCATCAACACACCAGCGAATCAATTGTGACTCCTCTCGCATTTATCTGGCAGGACACACGTTGCCAGATGGAGGGGCTGTCAGCAGCTGGAACATTCCCAGAGGCGAGGGTCGGAGACTTATCCTCAAAAAAACAGGTTGAGAGAACGGAGTGTGTTTGTTCCAAACAGAGAACGGATCAGGAACTTCACAGCTTTGCTCTTAAAAGTCCAAGTGGTTGACATGTCAGGAAGCAAGGAACATTCTCTGAGATTCCAGAGCAGAGCTCTATGGAAGCAGCTTTTGGCTCAGTGTAGACATTTCCTACTTCTCAGAAAAGCCCCAAAATGAAATGGTATATACAGTGAGGTCCTGAGCTCCCTGTCCCTTGAGATATTCAACAGGATGCTAGACGCCCACTTGGCGGGGAGGTTTCAGAAGGGGAATCAAACTGTGCGGACAAGCTGTGAAAATCTATAACCTCTGATTTCTCCTGGGATCAAACTCACACTGGGGCGGGGGGTTGCTCTGATCTTTTGCTGCTTTTTATGAGAAGGGCCTCCTATGTCGGCTACCCCCATGTCCCAGAACCCCAGATGAGCAGGGACCGGTCAGACCTACCCTCCCTGAACTCAAACCCTTCACCCTCAGAATGATTGTCCAGCCCTTCCTGCCTGGTGTGAAGTCAATAGGGAGAGAGGTAGGAAGAATGATGGGCTTCCTGGTCGACCAGATCCATCGGAGAGCAGCTGGAGGATGGGGCAGGTCAGGAGAGTTCCATACCTTTTCTGGTAGAGGGGCAGCATGGTCGTGCCCAGGATATAGTAGGCGATGACCGCACACACCACCATGGCCACACCCAGGCAAAGGGCTCGAGTCTCTCCCCGCTTCTGGGCCATCACCAGCTTCTTTCCCATGTCCACTGCAGGCACTTGTCATTTCTAGAGCCACAGAGGCAAACAGACATGAGATCAGCACAGGCAACGAGTAACCCACAGAAGATGGGACAGGTAAGAGGGGACGGTGCTCAATGGTCAACATCACCTCTAGTTTGTTACGGAGCTTTGCACTCCTGAGGTCTCTTTGAACACACGTAAACCTCCCACCAACTGAGAGGCAATTGTTATCATCCCCATTCTACAGTTGAATCATCTGTGGCTCAGAGAGGTAGAGAGACTTGTCCAAGGCCACACAATGTGTGGTAGGTTCAGTAATGACCCCAAGAGGTCCATATTCTCAGCCCTGGAATCTGTGAGCGGTACTTTACGTGGCAAAGACCTTAATTTAAAGATCCTGGGATGGGGGGGTTATCCTGGATTATTCATGTAGAACCTAAACGTAATCAAGGGTCTGTACGGGAGCGAGGTGAAGGGAGACGAGACACAGAAGAGAAGATGATAATGACCAGGGTGGAGAGCTTGGAGTGGTGTGGTCACATGCCAGGAAGTATGAGCAGCCACCAGAAGCCAGAGGAGACAAGGAACAGTGGATTGTCCCCTCAGCCTCGGATGGAGTGGGCCCACCCGACACCTTGATTTCAGCCCTACCAACGCCTCGCTGGCTTCCAGAGCTCTGTGAGAAGAGATTTCTATTGTTTGAGGCCACCAAGTTTGTGGTGATCTGTTAACAGCAACGGTAGAAAAGGAATACAGGAGATAAATGAATACAGTGGACAGTAGCGGTAGGACATCTGAGCACTTTCTTCCAGGACACTCGTCTCAGAAAAACATGGAGCATTTCACAAATTACAAATAATCCCGGGGCAAGGCTGCCTGGGCTGGGGACAGCAAGTGGAGAAGGGTCAGGAGGGCTGAGTGCCCCAAACAAAACCGGTTCTTTCCTGGAGCATGGGGTGCCCTCGAGGAGCAGCCCTTGGCATGTGCCCTACCTTCTAGCCCCTCAGTCCTCCCAGCCCCAGGCACTCCGGATGGTGGGAAGGCAGGGGTGCTGTGTGACCAGGTCTAAGATGCTAGGAGAAGAGGAGAGGAGAGGAGAGGAGAGGAGAGAAGAGGAGAGGCTCTCCTGTCACAGAGAAGTCTGAACCCTGCCTGTTGCTCAGATGCCACCTGTCTGTAATGCTCTGATGAGATTGTTCCCTACACCAAGTGAGGAGCTTTGCAGAGTCATGGTCAACGCTCCTAAAACCTCACAGGATAAAAGAAGGGGGTGAGGATATGGGTGTGGATATGGAATTTAACAACCACAGAGGGAGACTTCCTGCAGGAGGAAGGGGAGGCACTGCTGATCTTCCCTGAGGCCTGGACAGGAAGAAAGGAATTGTAGCTCTAATAGGAGGGATTTCAGTTAGACTCCAAGAAGAACTTTTCACTTTTGAGAGTTGCTGAATATCTCTGGACTTTTTGGTCCTATCTTTCGTTTAGAAAAGTCACTCAACGTCTGGGGTGAATTTAGGAAAGATGGAGAAAGGTGAAAGAAAATAGCACCTGGCACTTTGGTTGACATTCTTTTCCTTAGAAGGATAGAGCACAGAGTACAGTGTTCAAGGGTTTGGTGGAATGTGGGGCAGGGAGGATTCTGAGGTCAGCAGATCCAGGATCAAATCCTGACTTTGCCACGTAGCAGTCGAGTGGCTGTTAAATGAGAATAATAGTACCGGCTCCAGAGAGTTCTGACAAAGATCAGGTGACATACCAAATAGCACATATTGATCCCAGTATCTGGCCCAATGCCAGCTCTCAATAAATTGTGGCTGCTATTAACAAAGGGAATCCTGAAGGTTTGGAGCAGAAGTCCCCCGTTCTCTTACTGAGCCTACTTTTGTCCCATCCCTCCCCTGGGGACAAGAGCCAGGACTGGTCCTGCTCTCCGGGCTACTGCCCTCCTTCCAGCTGCTCTGGAAGCTGGGACTTGAGTGCGAGGATGATGAGCTACTCGAGTGACCCAGCCATGGAGCAGGCCACCAGACCACGGGGCCAAACACCAGCGGGTCTTGTGTTGGACAACACCACCGTCAGGGCCCCTGGAGCCCAGAGTCGTGATGGACTTCCCTAGGAAGCGAGTTCCCACTGCCAACCGCTCTGCCCTCTAGCCCCAGGCTCCGGAGAAACCACTCCCCAAGTGCTCTAGAGGCAGTACTCACAGTTTCTGGAGCCCTGGAGTCTTCAGCAGGCAGAGACTTTTGGCCTGGCCCCCAGCCCCCACCCCAAAAGAGGCTGCCTGAGCTGCAGCAGGAAGCTTGGGCTCCCAGCCCATCCCTGGGAAAGCGGCCTCTGGTCCCCATCCGGGACAGGCCTCCATGCCCAAACATGGTCAAGTCTGAGCACACAGCCCCAGGACACAAACTCCAGAGAGTCCGTCCCAAGCCTAGGAGACAAGGGCAGCTGTTACCCAGGCCCCCACACCTGCAATTTCCAGGGTCTGTAAGAAACAGATTTGGAGCAACGAAAGACTGAGCAAAACTGAGAAGCCAGAAAGACCATCCTGGTACATTTAGAGACGTTTCTTCATCATCAGTCTCTCTGGGCTGGCAGGGAAGCCGGGAATAGGAAATCATTTTCCTTTTGTTGACAAGGGAGGGAGGAGGAGTTAGAGCTCCGAGAGGTTGGGCTTATCAGCTACTAGGGGGCTGGCAAATCCCCATAGGAGCATCCAAACCCTCTGGAGCCTTTGGCACTTAAATGCTGTGTGACCCTGGGGCAGGTCACGGCATCTCTCTGAGCCTCAATTTTCTCAACTATGTTGCTGGGATTTTTTTAAACTAACTTTGTTTAGGATAATAATGAGTGTTAGGGATAGCGAAGATTTGAAGTGGAGGAAGAGAAACCCACCTTTTAAAGTCCGGCCGAGCAGAAGCTGAAAGCAGTGAGGCCTTCACAGCTGTTCCAGCCGGCCAGGTCCAGGGACAGCCTGCTCTGCCAAGCGGCCTCCCAGAGACTGTCGAAGTACAGTTTGGAGGCATGGACAGAGATTTGCGCCTCTCGATATGACCAGTGAGCCGCAAGGGGGTCTTTTAAGGCCTTAGACCTCACAGGTAGATTGACAAGGAGGGACACGGGGCCTGGAATGAATCCCCAGAGGAGTGGTTTTCCCAGATGGTCCTTGGCCCATCCAGGAGCCAGAAGAGCCCTTCTGGTGCCCGTGAACTAATGCAAAAATGCCAGTCCTTCCTCCCACTCCCCCTGGGGGAGAGAGACGCGGTGCATGCAACAGAGCCATTTCAAGTACGACCAAAAGGCTACTTGCTCATAATCAACTGACTGAGTTATTACGGGTTACACGTTTGGAATCTGTAAGCAAACATTAGCACTCTTCACAAGGTAGGGAAACAGGCAAGGAAGGTGGACCATAAGCTCTACTGTTGTCTGAAAGTGAGCCCCCCTCCAAAATGCTGGGACAAGCTCTGTTCTCCAAAGGGTGTGGAGAAAAACTCGGGTCCCTAGCTGCCTGTGCGGCTGCAGGGGAAGGGCAAGGAAATAATGAAGCTACAACAATACGGAGTAGTACTCGGCACTAACACAGACTGTTAGAGATCACAAAATGCCTCCCCAGCTCCAAACTTCCAACACCCTATCATAATAAGCACTGCCAGCTCATAACAATCTAGTCTGGTAGAGATTTTTCTACCCATTTTATAGATGCGGAAACTGAGGTTCATGGTGGTTAAATAAAGTAACCAGGGCAAGTTACTTTGTATCTCTAAATCTCAGTTTGTCCATTTCTAGAATGGAGACAATTATACCTCTCCTCAGTGTTTTTGAAAAATAAGAGATCACCTAAGCTACCTGACAGGCAGGTTGTATTTTCCAAAGATGCCCATGCCAACATGCGATCCATCCCATGTGCTCATCTAACAATGTGACATCAACACTGAGTCAGGAGGGGCATCTGTGTCCTTCGACCTTGGCAGAGCTCTGTAACCACCTGGGCAGGAGAACGTGATGGAGGTGACACTGTGTGATTTCCAAAGCTAAGTCATGCAGAGTGATCCAGCTTTCCCTGGGCGTCCTTCTCTCATGACACTCCCCTTGGAGCCAGCCATCATATTATGTGGAAGCCAAGAGGCCACGCACAGCTGCTCCAGCTGACAGCCCCAGCTTGGTTCTCAGCCAACAACCAGCATCCCCCGCTAACACTCGAGGGAAGGAGCTTGCAGGTGACTCCAGACCACTCTTCGGGACCCCTCGCTGAGGCCTCAGACTCATGGAGCCAAGACCAGCCACCCGATGTGTGCACTCTCTGAATTCTCCATCTACAAAAATCCATGAGCAAATTCAATGATTTTATGCCACTATATTTTGAGGGCATTTGTTATGCAGTGACGGTAACTAGAATGTACTGTAAGTGATTTCAAAGGGAAACTTTCTGTTGCTGGTGACTGTGGTAGTGTTGAACCAGTGGAGCTGAAAAAGCCTGAGATGACTGTGTGGAGTGGCATGGGGGAGCCTTAGAAAAGCTCTGTATGTTCTTATCTTAGGCTGCTCACTGCTGCACAAGTGGAATAGAAGGGTGGTGTTACAAGAGGGTATTTTCATTTATTGAGCAACTACTATGTGCCAGGGCATCCATAGGTAAATACATATACATATATACGTGTATACGCACATACATATACACATGTGTGCATACATATGCATGTCTGTACATGTGTGTACCCACATGCGTGCACACGCACATATGTGTATACATGTGTAAGCATGCATATACAGTTACACATACACATATGCATGTGTGCATGCATGTGCACATATACACGCATACATATGTGTGCATATACATGCACATTTGTGCACACGTGTATACAGATATGTGCATAGGCACACAGTGTACACACGATGTATGCATGCATATGAATACACACATCCACACACCTATACATGTCTGCACACACGAATACACATGAACACATGCGTGCTTGTGTACACATTCACGTATATATATACATGTGTGCATATGCACACACAAATGTACACACATAGCCATTCTTCTCAGCAGTCCTCCCAAAAGGTCTTGTTCCTGTGACTTGCCCAAGGTCACTCCCCTGTCACGTGATGCGAGGGGTCCAGGCCCTCCATGATGCCCTGAGGCACAGTCTTTGAGAGAACCAGTGTTTTTTCAGGAGTCCGCTTCAGCGGCTGTGTAAGCCTATCTCCTCAGTCTATAGCCCTTTCTGGATTGTGCATCCACTTATTTATTTAAACACTTTTGAATCAATATCTATTCTCTGCCACCACTTGGGATAATAAGTCCCATACATCAAATTGGCAACCGTGTCCAGAGCCCGTGTAGAGGGCGTGTCACCAGCTGTGTGCTGCAGGGAGTGGTTGTGAGTCGCGCTCTGTCCTAGGGAAGCCACTGGCTGGCAGACACTCGAGGCCCTACCGTGCGGAAGCTCTGAGTCCGTCACTGTGCCGCGGTGGGTCCTGATGGGGAAGGGACAAGATGGATTTTTAAAACCGCAAAAAGGCACAATGGAAAAATAAAAGGTATATTTTCAGTGACAGAGTCACAAAAGACAGAGGAAATGGCAGTGAAGGATTTTTCAATGGAGTTGAGAAGACAAAGTGTAAAAACAGGACCAAGAAATTTTCTTATTTGAATTAGATGACAAGACCGGACGTGATGAGGAACCCGACAGGGCCGCCCCCTCTGAGTGAAGGGAGGCCTCCTGCCTTTCCCATCGGACTCTTCCAACCGTGTTTTTGCTTCCCCTCATTTTTCTTACTTAGTGACAAGGTATTTTAGCCTGCTGTATTGTTAACATAATTGTAAGCAGCTTGAAATCCTCTTTGAAACAAGGAACAGCATAAATAAATAAAGAGCCCTGCTATCCATCTGTGCGGTAAGATCGTTTTCGTATGCCTCTTCCTTACTGCAAAACCATCCATGCTCACTGTGGAAAAGTTGGACGACTGACAAGGGCAGGAAGAAGATAAGGCACGGTGATAGCCCTGCCACTTGGAGGGAATTGCAGGTCGGGGGTGGGTGTGTCTTTTTAGATACTCAAAAGAGGATGTGGACATTCTCTTCCTCCAGAGGGCACATCCCTGTGCCCCCCACCCCCCGCTAGGGAGCTCTTCCTCTCCCCTGGGTCTCAGTTCTAGGGTGCTCACCTCACCTCCTATTCCCTAAGCCACACGTGATTTAACATGCTGGGAGCATTGTGTGCAGCTCCCTCCGAGCACTCCCCGTCCCTGTAATGTTATGTTTATTCATGTGCCTTCCCCATTCCCAGGTCTCCCCACTGGAGTGTAAGCTCCCTGAGATCCAGGGCAAAAACGGTTCTTATTCACTGTCACATCTCTAGATAAACTGAAATCTTGGGGATTTGCTGTGGTTTGTGGTTTAGTTTGAAAAAAAAAAAAATCTCTTACTTTTTCAAAAAACATTCACCATCTTACCCAATTTTAAGTCTACAGTTTGGGAGTGGTAACTATATTGTTACTGTTGAGCAACAGATTTCCAGAACTTTGTCATCTTGCAAAACTGAAACTCTGTACCCATTAAACAACTCCCCGTCTCTCCCTCCTCGTCAGCCCCATCTACACTCTGTTTCTGAGTCTGACTACTTTAGACAACTCATATAAGTAGAATCCTATGGTGATCGCCCTTTTGTGTCAGGCTATTTCACTCAGCATAATGTCCTCAAGGTTCATCCACGTCGTATCATTTGACCAAGAAAAAAAACCTCTTGCTCCTTAATGTAACGGAATATTATAGTCATTTTCCCAGACCAGAACACATTTGTCTAAAAGCTTGTACCGTACTGTTTCACATGGGGAAGCAGTAGTGTATTTAATTGAAGCCATGTTGTTGGACATTTAGGAAGGGGGCCTGTTTGCTTATTAGTGGAGCTCAGAGTTGCCCTCTCTGGGTGGGTGGACTGTCCCAACCATCCCCACCCTCACAGCCATCATTGTTCTGGAACGGGCAGGTGTGACAGAGATTGGATCTACAAGGACAGAGTTTGGGGACCAGAACCTGGGGAGGAAGATGACTGAGCCATAGAAATGGAAGATGGCAGCAGCTCATGGTTTCCTAGCCCAGTCTGGGTGTGATTTGAACTTTGGGGGAAGAGGAAGAGACAAGGCAGAGGGAATAGGTGGAGGCTGGTGGAGCTGTTTTCACACCATAGTCTTTGGGACTCAGACTCTGGGGTGATGAGAACAAAGGG